ACATAAAACCAGTAACTATTTTACACACACACACACAAAGTCTCTCACTTTGCACTATCACTGTGGGTCACAGCGTTTATTATCATCTGCTTCAGGAAAAAAAAGCTTCTCTGATTATGTATATGTATATATGCACACATATATACACACATTTATTCATGTGTGTGTGTGTGCGTGCAAAGGACATGCATGGAAAAAAACACCTGACAAAGCTTTATAAAACTAAAAACCTCCAAAAATGCTATTGAGTTAGTTTTTGTTGGCCATCTCTTCTTGGGCATGGGGCCTAGCCTTATATGTACGCTCAGAGAGACTATATTGTGTTGGAGATGTGGGCTGGTGTCCACGTTCCCTCTCAGTACTGGGACCCTCTCAGTCTCAGCCCCTTTCAGGCCCTAGGCAAGTTGCCACAGTCTCTGTGAATTCCTATGTGCATTGGCTCTGCTGTGTCTAGAGGTCCTTGTTTCCTTGGTGTGCTCCATCCCCTCTTGCTCTTAAACTTTCTGACTCCTCTCCTGAGCCTTGAGAGGAGTGATTTGATGGTGAGGTCCCATTTAAGACTTGAGTGTTCCCTGGGCTGAGAGATCCTGGAGTTCGCTTGAAGAGAGGGAGGATGGATCACATGAACAAAGCAGGGTGGTCAAGAGCATGATGGCGAAAACCACAGAGCCAGCCGACATCCGACCCAAGCTAGTGGGAGCTCATGGACTATGGACTGACAGCTGGGGAACCTGCATGAGACCAAACCAGACCCTTTTAATGTGGGTGACAGTTGTGTGGCCTGGTCTGTTGAGGGAGCCCTGGCAGTCTCTCCAAGAGTTATCCCAGGTGCATGAACTGGCTTTTTGAAGCCCATTCCCTATGGAGGGATATCTTGCTCAGCTTTGATATTGGGGGGGAGGCTTGGTCCTGCCTCAAGTTGGTATCCCAGACCTTGTTAACTTCCCAAGGAAGGCCTTACCCTCTCTGAGGAACAGATGGGGATGGGAAGGAGGAGGCGGGGTAGGAGAAGGGGAGGGAGAGGGAACTGGGGTCGGAATTTACAATGAAAAGTAATTTTTTTAAAAAATAAAAACGTGGAAAAAAAGACTTGAGTGTTCTAAAGTCTTTCACTATGTGCTGTCCAGCTGTGGGCCACTGTATTTGTTACTGTCTGCTTCAGGAAAAAGCTTCCCTGCTATTGGTTGAGCAAGACACTGATCTATGAGTACAGCAGAATGTCATTAGCCGTCATTTTACTCAAACCTTCCCTTAGCAGAATAGTAATAGTATTTGGTTTTACACTAGGTCCCTGGCCGATCTAGTCTCAGACTCTTGACAACCAAGCAGTTTCGGGTATGAATTCCATCTCCTGGAGTAGGCCTTACATCCAATCAGATACTGACTGGTTACTCCCGCAAGGCTTGCGTCGCTGTCTCCCTTAGTGCATCTTATAAACAGGGCAGCTTTGCAGAATGAAGAGCTCGTATACCTTTCTCCTTTAGGAGCATACAGAGGACCTTCAGTAGCACGAACACTAGTCCGGATGGGTGAAGGCTCTATGTAGGCGCCAGCTCAACTTCTCCAATAGTTAATGAGCTGTGGAGATATTGTCTTCAGCAGCAGGGCCTTCCCATCAGTTTGTGAAGAGCAACAACTAGCCCTGGCAACAGCCTGGGTTGTTTGGGGGTTGCTTTTTTCTTAACATATAAACAATGTAAGTCAAATATCTGTTCACAAAAAAATACTGTTATGGAAATACAGAAAACTTCACAATGAAAGCAGGTTTCTCCTTCATATTAGTAATTGTTTTCAAAAAGAAAAAAAAGGTAGCAGTCTCCAAGTTGAACTTCAAGGACCATCACAAAAATATTTCTTCCTTAGAGAAAAGAGAAGAGGTAGGGGTAGCAGCAGTGTTGAGAAGTGCAAACCAGATTTTCCTAGAGACGGAAACATAGCAAACGGTAGTGAGTGTAGTGAGTCAGGATGGGAAAGGAGTTTCTTAATATTGACATAATGAATTACAGAACTCCCTCAGTATCCATGGCAGAGGGGTCCCAGAACCCCCTCAGATCAAAGTCTATGGGAACTCAAGTCACTTGCACAAAACACCAAGGAATTTCCATATAATGCATGTGCTTGCCCCAATATAACTTCATCTGCTTTGGGTTGCTTAAAATACTGAATACAAGGGGTTCGAGATTTCTCAGCTGTTAAGAGCACTTACTATCCTTGAAGAAGACCTGAGTTTTATTTTCAGCACCCAGATATTGGCACACAAACATCTGTAACTCGAGTTACAAGGGACCCCATGTTCCTGACGTCCGCAGGTACTAAGCAAGCATGTGTTTCAGACACACACACAAAACAGCTATGCACATAAAATGAGAAATTGTTCGTTAAAAAAGGCTTAAAATGCTGAATACTATGTACAGACTATATGTACTATGTACATATGTACAGGCAGTGGGGGAATGTTGGCAAGAAAACGTTTGCTATGCACAGAAACATATTTTAGAAAAATTTTCCCAACCAGGATGCCTTGAACACAGAGGTGGAACAGGGACTAGACAGATGCACCTGTGTTATGAATGTAGTAGCTTAAGATAAGGCACATTTATTATTTTACAGTTATGGAGGTTATAAATTATATTTAAAAGGTGAGAGTAATGCAAAGATGTTCTGAGGGTTCCTCTCCTGTTACCATCACTATGGGAGGAGAATCTTCTCTGGTTTTCTGCCCAGCTTCTGCTGACAGATTACATTCTATGGCTACCGTACTCCCATCTTCAAAGCCAACAATGGACTTTCCAGCTTTTCTTCACCCATGCTGCTTGCTTCGAACACAGAAGCTTATGCCACATCTAAGTACACTTGCAGTTATATTGGAGAGAATAATCCAGGATAATTGTGTGTTAAATTCCACGATTAAGAACCATAGGTACACCTGCAACTTCAGTTCTCCTTGGCCAAATAACACATATTCACAGGAATGGACTGGGTATGGTTTGTTATTTTGCTAAACACTGGGTAGGTGCTTAAATGTATTTCTAAGTGGGCAAGCCCAACGGCTTCAGTGTGTGCTTAATGCGACTGCTGTTTTTCCTACAAACAAGCACAGACAAAAGAGGATGAAGAGCAGAGGGAATTCTGTGGATAGAGCAAAATGAAAGATTCAAAAGGAGTCAGATGTGGGTATTAAGAGAAAAGATGCGTGAAGGGTCCTTTCCCTGAGATATACCGTGAACCTAGGCAGTTAGACATGGCTGACATCGGAGCTGGTTAATTCCTCCTGCGTTTGCATACGGGCAAATATGAGAGCTTGGACATGTTTGGCAAGAGAAGATTTCAGAGCACCATTGGCAAGGAAACTGAACAGGCCCAAACTGTGTCCCAACACTTGGCTGTGGAACAGCTCAGAGGCAGGACTCTAAGACACCCTGAAATACTGACAGGGAAAGGGCAATAGTCAATAAACAACCCCAAGGTATTTCTCTCTCTCTCTCTCTCTCTCTCTCTCTCTCTCTCTCTCTCTCTCTCTCTCTCTCTCTCTCTCTCTCCCTCCTTCCCTCCCTCCCTCTCTCTTTCCATCCCCCCTCTCTCCCCCTCTCCCTCTCTCTTCCTCTCTCTCCCTCTCTCCCTCCATCTTTCCCTCTTTGCCTCTGTTTCCCTTTTGGAGTAGGGGTAGTTGAGGGGGGAGATGTAACAGAAGCCCCCACTTCAGATCCCTTAGAGACAGAAGAGCCCCCCTTCTCTTCATGGCTGCATGAACCAGTGAGAAAAAACATGGGAGAACCAACAGGAACAACCTACTGGCTGTCTGTTGCTAGGTCACCTGTCCCCTCTCAGGCTGCAGTACTGAGTCCCCCCCCCCCCTTCCACTGGCGTCATATGAGTGGGTGGAGGGGGGAAGCAGGGAGGGGAAGGCAATGTCCAGCCTCGTTTTGAAGTGCTGATGTACCTAGGGGCCCACTCAGTATCCCTCCGCTGCCTCCTGCTCCCCAACTCCAGACACCCTCCTTCATGTAGTCCCCCCACTCCAAAGCCCTCATAGACCCTAGCTCTCAGGCATCCCCCACCCTGGAGTGGCACCAGAAAAGTGGTGGTGGTCTCTGGTTAGGGTGAGCAGGGGGCTGCAGGAGCTCACTGTGCGACCCACCCCCTCCCCAGGGGAGCTGGGCTGCGTGCAGCCCCGCCCTCTCGGAGTCGGAACTACGGTGGGCCCAGGCGGGGGCGTCGAGCCTGTGCGCCATATCCCTCCGCCCCCTTCCCGACACCCTCGAGGCGAGCTGTGCCTGCCGCATCCTGCGCAACAGCCCCTGCCCGTTTGCTGCAGAGGCGTGGGGGCGGGACGCGTCTCTGCCATTCCACTCGCGCAAAGCGCCAAGAGACCAGAGAGAGAAGAGCTGCGGAGGACGGAGCACAGCCCAGAGCAGACAAGCAGACGGGGGACGCGGGGAAGCCCGCAGACCTGGGCCGTGCGCCTGGCCAGGCAAGTGGGGGTGTGTCGAGGGCTCGGGGCGGCCGTGCTCTGCGGACCACCGCCCGGCCCTGACAGTGCAGTGGGGGCGAGCGGGTCGCGGGGGCTCCCCGGAGTGGTGCGCGGTTCACGGAGATCCTAGGCTAGGCGGGAGGAGGAAGCGGGAACCCCGCTCGGGCTGCGGGCCTAGGGGGCGGCTGGAGCAGCTGGCTGTGATGGTCTGGAGGCAGGAGGGGTAGGACAGCCAGGCAGTCTCCCTTCAGGTGTCAGAATAGGCCCTGAAAATGTTGTGCGGTAGGCAACGGCGGGAAAAATGGCGGTGCGGGAGTTGTGTGTGTATGGGGGGGGGGGGGCGCTGGGAGCCCTAGGGTGCGGGGCGGGTGTCCATCTCTGGGGCAAGCTCAGCTGGTGGGGGTGGTGAGTCGCCTAAGCTACTAGGACGCTGATCTGTTTCCGGAGAGGGACCCTTGTACCCTGCGCCCTGGGTGCCATCCCTTCCCACAGGCTCCTGCTTGATGGCAAAGTCTCCTGTCTGCGCGGTAGGTCTGGCGTGTTCTGACAGGCCACAGTGAGCATCTATAGACCAGAGGCTTAAGGAAGGAGGAACAGAAAAATGACCTGGATTTCTGGAGGTGTGTGGCAATGGGAGTGGGCACCAGACTGTGAGTGGAGATGCGAAAATGGTGGGGGTGACAGATCAGACAGGTGGGATATCCATTAGTGTCTCCTAATCTCATTTCTCACAGCCTTTCAGGTACTTTCCCCAATGCCCTTCCCCTCCCTTTCAAATTTGGGGTGTGAAAAGATGGTTTGGGGATGATGACGGAGTCATAAATCCAAGGACCACTTCAGAACCTGCTTTCTAGAATGTGCTGCGCCCTTCCCCCATTTTTTGCTGCGCAAGAAAAGGAAATGTGGCCACCTAGTGGTGGATCTTGAGAATGGCAGGACTAATGATTATGACATCAGGAAGTGGGTGTTACCCTCAGGAACCCTGCAGCCAGGCAAAATAAAACTAGAATGTTCCAGCAGTAGGACCCTGAATGATGAAAGACACACAGTCTTCTCCTTTGTGGTGTTCTCAAGAAGATCAACTGCTGCCATCATTTCCCGATTGCCTAGCGTTTTCATCTCTTTGTCCACAGGCCTGCTTTAAGTCTGATCAGTTCTGCGAGGAAGAAAATAGGGATCGAGGAGACTGTCTCAAGATCTCTGGAGGTTGGTGAGAATCGTGGGCAGTAGAGGACCCATGTACTGAGGAGGCAGATGCAGACTGCTGTACCCCAAGAGGATGCATGATGTCTTTCCTGTCCCCTAAATCTGCCCACAGCTTCTCCCATCATCTCCTGATTGTCTTACATTTTCCTCTTTGTCCACAGACCTGCTTAAAGTCTGGTCAGCTCTGTTAGAAAGAGAACAGTCATCGAGGAGACTGTCTCGGATCTCTGGAGGTTGGTAAGAATCTGGGTAGTGAAAGACCTAGGTACTGAGGAGGCAGATGCAGACTGCTGTAACCTAAGAGGGAGCATGATGTCTTTCCTGTCCCCCAAATTTGCCCACAGCTGCTACCATCATCTCCTGATTGTCTTACATTTTCCTCTTTGTCCACAGATCTGCTTAAAGTCTGGTCAGCTCTGCAAGAAAGAGAAAAGCATTGAAGAGAGCGTCTCAAGATCTCTGGAGGTTGGTAAGAATCTGGGCAGTGAAAGACCTAGGTACTGAGGAGGCAGATGCAGACTGCTGTAACCTAAGAGGATGCATGATGTCTTTCCTGTCCCCTAAATTTGCCCACAGGTGCTACCATCATCTCCTGATTGTCTTACATTTTCCTCTTTGTCCACAGATCTGCTTAAAGTCTGGTCAGCTCTGTTAGAAAGAGAACAGTCATCAAGGAGACTGTCTCGGATCTCTGGAGGTTGGTGAGAAGGGGGGGCAGTGGAGGACCCAGGAACTAATAAGGAGGCAGATGCAGACTGCTGTAGCCTAAGAGGATGCATGATGTCTTTGCTGGACCCTAAATTTGCTCACTGCCACAGCATCCTTTATTTCCTTTCAGAGCTACTAGGAATGTTGAGGTAGATGTGAATTAGGCTATGATCCACAGGACAAGACATAAGAGCTGGGACCAGGGAACAGAAACTTTAGGCAGAAAGCAGGCATGGTTTTGTTGTTGGATTGGGCTCAGAGATGTGTGCCCACGTAGCAGGCACCGAGCCTCCATTTTCTTTTATGCATTTGTAGGACTCCTTGCCGTCAGCTGTTGATCTTAACACCACCTGGACATAGAAGAGAGGAGGGAATTGCACCACATCGGTGAAGGTGGGTATGGGAGAGGGTTCACGTTTAGATGAGGGCAGTAGAGATCGACAAGACTGGCTACTGAGAGATTGGGGCTCCCCTCTGTCTTCATTTCTAGCGTGTGCACTGTCTCCTCAACCCTGCACCTGTGTTCCAGCAGGCAAGAGGAACATAGAGGTTTTCTCCTAGCTGAGCTGTTCCTCTCACCATCATTCACCAGTGTCTCTGTGTAAGTTTCTCCAGGAGGCAAGCGAACTGTATAGGACTGACTTGCTCTTTTTTCTCTTCCTAGATCACCTACAGTGGCTGCTTGGCGATTCTGTGCTTGCTGCTGACCAGTGCATTCAACAGGTCTGCGCCCACCTTAGGACCTGTCCATCTTCCTCCGGCTTGGTTTCGCCTCTTCTGCACTGTATCTGTGTTATTGACTGAGATTGTTCTTGGGTAGGAATCTTATTGGTGCCAGATTGGTGGTTTACCTCTGCTACTCACTATATCTCTTGGATCATCAAAAGATCAGAGTGCGAAGAAGATACAATATTGTGACAAATCTCTTGTTGAGACTGAAGCTTTGGTAGGCATCCTTAGTTGAGCCTTCACTCTAATTTGTACCATGACTGGGGCAGAAGTTGAAACTGGTTCTCAGGCCAAACCTGATAAGAAGCCTCAGGAAGAGGTTATGGGTGGGGCCAGTGGAGAAAGTGAAGTCCCTATGGTGGTCAGACCCAAAGTCAGGCCCCAGGCTCCAGCCACAAGTGGGGCAAAGCGTAAAACTGGGAGTAAATCTTCATCTCGGGGAAGGCCTAAATCTGAAACCCAGTCAGTGTCTGGAACAAGGCCTAAAAATAATGGCCAGGCAATGGCTAGAGCAAGGCCTAGATCTGAGGCCCAGGTAATGCCTGGTGCCAGGCCCAAAACCGATGCCAGGGCAGTAGGTGGTGCTCGCCCTAAGACTGAGGCCAAGCCAATCCCCAGAGCACGGCCTAAGGATGATGCCCAGGCGTGGGCCCAGAGTGACTTTGGGGCTGAGGCAATGTCACAGGCTGAGAGATCACCCTTACCTAATGCTGTCACGTGGCCCCTGGTCAGTGCTGCGTCTACATCAGTTCCTAAATCCAAGAGTCTATCTATGGATAGAGAACTGGTCAGTATGAATGAGGAAACCTTTCCTGGGGCCCAGGGTCAGGCTGGACTCCAGCCCTGGTTTAGACCTGGAGAGGAGACTAATACAGGTTTTTGGTGTTATCCCAGGCCTAGAGTGAGGGAGGAGACCTCTAATGAGTCTGGGTTTTGGTCAGCAGATGAAAATTCTACAATGTCTTCTATCTGGACTGGAGAGGAGACCAGTATCAGATCATGGCCAAGGGAGGAGGCAAATACTAGGTCCAGGCACAGGGCTAAACATCAGACTAATGACACTTCCGGGCCCCGATCCAAACAAGATTCTTGCTCTGGGTCTGAGGATGAGGCAGGCAACTCATTCTGCCTTTGGACTGGAGAAAATACCAATGACTTGTTTAGGCCCAGAGCCAGCGAAGAGGCAAATGTGCGACCTAAGGTCAGGGCAAAGAGAGAGAACTGTTTTGAATCGGAATCTGAAGATGAGTTTTACAAAGAGTCGTGGTTTTTGCCTGGGGAAGAAGCTAGTAGGTTCAGGCGCAGAGACAAGGCAGAGTCTAATAACATCTTGAAAAACAGTAACCAAAATGATGTTAAAACCAGTGACAGGGTCAAACAAGAATCCAGCTTTGAGGAGGAAGTCATTATTGGATCCTGGTTCTGGGCAGAACAAGAGACTAGTTTAGAGGCTGGAGCTTCAGCAATCTGTGAATCTGAACCAGGGGCTGAAGAGGGAGCCATTGGTGGAGCTTTGTTTTGGAATGAAGAAAAGCCCAATTTGGGGGCTGTGGCCAGAGATGAGGTCAGGCCTGAGTCTGAAGAAGAGGCCATATTTGGGTCCTGGTTCTGGGATAGAGATGAGGCCTGCTTTGACCTAAATCCTAACCCTGTGTACAGGGATAAGAGCAGGTTCAGAGATGCAACTGAAGACATTGATGAATCGTCCAGGCCCAAAACCTGGGATGAGGTTACTTTTGAATTCAAACCTGTTCTTTACTGTGGGCTTGGCTTTCCTTTTGAATTCCCCTTTAGAATATTTGAAGGGGATTCTGAAGATACTGAGGCAAAAGCCAAGGATGAGGAACCTGGTGCAGAAGGGGAAGAGCAGGAATCTGGCCTTCCGCCTGATCTGCCTGAACCTGAGTTCCCATTTCAGTATGATCCCAATTACCGATCAGTCCAGGAGATTCGAGAGCACCTTAAGGCCAAGGAAAGTGCAGACCCTGAGAATTGGTCTTGCAGCTGCATACAGTGCGAGCTTAAAATTGGCTCTGCAGAGTTCGAGGAGCTCCTTTTGCTAATGGATAAAATTCGTGATCCTTTTATCCATGAAATCTCTAAAATTGCAATGGGTATGAGAACTGCTTCTCAGTTTACCCGCGATTTCATTCGAGATTCTGGTGTTGTCTCACTGATTGAAACCCTGATGAATTATCCTTCCTCCCGAGATAGGACTAATTTTTTGGAAAATATGATCCACACGGCTCCACCTTATCCAAATCTAAACATGATTGAGACCTTTATATGCCAAGTGTGTGAGGAAACCCTTGCATATGATTTGGATTCCCCTGAGCAGCTCACTGGAATGAGGATGCTTAGACACCTCACTATAACTACTGATTATCACACACTGATTGCCAATTACATGTCTGGGTTTCTCAACTTATTAAGCACAGGCAATGAAAGAACAAAGTTTCATGTTCTACAAATGCTGTTGAACTTGTCTAACAATCCTATGGTGGCAAAAAAACTATTCAGTGCCAATGCTCTGTCCATATTTGTGGGTCTCTTTAACGTAGAGGAAACGAATGATAACATTCAGATTATTATCAAAATGTTTCAGAATATCAGTAGTATTGTAAAAAGTGGAGCAATGTCTTTAATTGATGAAGATTTCTGTCTTGAACCACTTGTTTCTGCATTCCACGAGTTTGAAGAGCTAGCTAAACGGCTGCAAATCCAAATAGACGATGAGGATGACCCCGAGGAGGGACAGTAAATTCATTGTGTTTAACCACCTGCCACTGCTCAGCCTTATGTTCCCAAAGAGCCCCAAATAGTGCTTTGGTGTTCACAGTCTGGTTCTGTGCTGTAACTTAGATTTTTAATGCTATTGTGAACTTGTCAAACTCTTGTGAGCTGGATCATTTATGGATGCCAAAATATATCAGAACCGAAAACATATTTGTTGATATTTGTCTTACTGTTCAGATTGTGATATTTTTTAGAGTTGAGCTCCCAGTGAACCAAGTCATATGAGTAAGCTATCCTGCTCTTTGTTGTTTAAACATGTGGTTCTCTACTTGAGTCTGTGCTTTCAATAAAGTTCGATGTTGAAATTGGCATAAATGACCCTTCTTCACTTTAAAAAGCAGGTGCAGATCTATTATACGCATTCAAAATATAGATGATTAGTATTAGAACAAGCACATGCTTACTAGAAAATCCTATTTTAGGAAGGGAGATTACTGTGAACTTTGGTACTCAAAAAATGCTTCCAAGAAGTGGGACCTAGATAGTCCCTGAACAGTAAGCATCTTGGAAATGAGCCATAGTGATGTGAAGCAAAGTGTGTGTTGGGAAAATATGTTCCAATAACATGAGTGAAATAATTGAGAGGAGCGTAGAAAGTACATACAGGTGGGAAATTAGGCAAGGTAAGTGTTGAGGAACTGCATAAACCAAACTGAAATTAACAATTCGAAGTTTAGATTTTGCTTCAATAGTACCTAAAGGGTGAATGAAAAAGACTCAAATTCAGTGGTTCTCAATCTGTGGGTTGCGACTCCTTCGACAAACCTCTGTAGCCAAAACATACTTAGAATTCATAACAATAGCAAAATTATAGTTGTGAAGTAGTAACTGTGGTTAGAGATCACCAGAACATGAGGAAGTGTATTAAAGGGTCACAGCATTAGGAAGGTTGAGAACCACTGTGTCTAATTAAATGGGCTCAGAAGTAATATTTCTTGTATGATGATAGTTCAAGGAAAGTACTAACTATTGAAATAACTATGTATGGATTGATTTATTGACATGAAACAACATTAGTAATTCTATATATAGCAAACTAGAGAAGAATTTGGCATTGTATTTGAAAAACTGTGTTTAAAATGTATGTATAAATAAAACGGCTGAGCTCATTGTGACTAAAGCAGCTTCATATAGCCCTTATCTGGATTAAAATATGCAAAGCTAAATTCTTAGAGACAGGCATTTAAGAAACACAAAATTTAGCAAAACATACGAAAGTTAATATGTTCCCATCCAGTGAATCTAGTTGTAGATGGGCATGCTGGGAAAAGGGTATCTTTGTATAAATGATTAACCTAAAATGTTAAGAAAAAGTTTAGCGATAAAGTGATTTAGAAAAGCTGTAAATGAATGAGACTTCAGAACCAAGATTACTAAGTTTGTATTGGGCTGTTGATGCTACAATAAATGAAATTTCTCGTGTAATTATGACACTCAAACAATCATGACATTTCCTTTTTAGGTGGCAGCAAAGTTCTGCAGCTAGACAGTGGTGGTGGTCGCTTATGTCACTGACTTGTACACTTTACATTGATTACAATGGTAAGTTTATGTTCTGGGGATTTCGCCATGACACAAAAGCCACAGACCGCAGCAAGCCTTCATCCACGAGTATTTCACAAGTCACGAGTAAACTTGGTTTGGATATAGATTCCAAATTGTGGGAAATAGAAAATATTTTGTTATTGTTAGACAGAAAAAAATATATTTCTTTGTTCAGAAAATGCCATATATTTTCAAAGAGATAAAATTGCAACTCGTGTTAATAAAATGGGAGCCTGGTGCACAAATTTTACCGAGACGGTGGACAGCTGCTAAGATCAAAAACAGTCAAAGGGGATAGATATAAATAGTACATATCAAACTTCATATGCACAGGAAATCAAATGATAGGCCAATATTATAGAATTATAGAAAAGGTGATTACCATCTTATATGCAATACTTTGGAACATTTAATGTTATCCATATTATTGGACATTATATAAATTACTGCTAAAGAATCGTCTCATGATCCAACTCCTCAGGGATCCTTTTTTTTAGACTACGCACTCTTAGAGAGCAAGACCCCTGGCTTCAGACTGGAAGCTTTGACCACTAATCCAGCTAGCCTTCCAGCTGTCTTCAAGGTAAGGAGGTTCAGGTTCTTTTGGTAATAAGCTCAGCTCCAGAGACAGGATATTTTTCTGTTCCCCATGCTACAGATGCTCTGTAGTCTGGCTGCTCTGATGGGAAGTTGTATGATGAGTCTTTTGCTTGGACACAGATATATTTGCTTTCATAGAGAAGGAAAGGCATATACCTGGCAATTGGAATAGGTCAAACAAGGGGCAGGAGGTTAAGGTGGTTGAGCTGGTGTCCAAGGTGTTAGCTTAATAACTTTTTTTTAATGTGTCCAGAATGAAAGTATTGATTGGATGGAATAATCCCTCAGTCAATCAAAGGTGTGTTTGTCAGGTCGGGAGCTCAAGAAGCTGGTACTAGTCATCCTGTAGGATGGATTCCTGCACAGAAACAGCAGTTGCTGCCGAAATATGTAGGAGCTGAAAAATGGCATCCCTTGGGTGGTAGTGGTTCAGACTAGATGATAGTGCTTGAAATGCCACAGACTCTCTCACTCCTTCCTGTCTCCTGAATGCCATCTCATTCCCTCTTTAGGCTCCTGTTCCATGCTGTATCGGTATCTCCCCATTTCCCTCTCCCAGTTCCTTCCCTCCTCCCCACTGTGTGTGTGTGTGTGTGTGTGTGTGTGTGTGTGTGTGTGTGTGTGTGTGTGTGTGTGTGTGTGTGTGTGTGTGTGTGTTGGGGAGTTTGTGACCTTACAGGTAGAATTGGCTTTAGTAACCCCGGGAAGGGAAATGGTGCAGTAACTGTGTTTATTATACTGCTACTCAGCTTCCAATGATGTGACCTCTGCTCTTATCCTGTGTGTTCTGTCTGATTTCCTTAATGGCAGTATCCAGCCACTGAAGATGTCCCAGGGCAGCTGAAAAAAATCGTGGAGAGGAAAAGAACAAACACGATAATTGCCTTTTCCTCAAGGGTTCCAACAGGCCAAGGATAGACTAGAGAAATTGCCACCCAGCAATATCTAGGCATGAAGATAGGAGACATAGAGTGAGAGGGAGAAAATCTGGGTGCTTTTTTCATAGAATTTCTCTTTGGGATTTGCTAATCTTTTTTTTTTGGGGGGGGGGAGTACAAGAACAACAGCTAGTTTAGTATTTTATCAAAGTCTCATGTCTGCTTCATTTTTTTTTAATTTTTTATATTATTATTACAAATTTTCGCCTCCTCTCCTCCTCCCATTCCCCTTCCTCCTCCCTCCCCAGTCCAAAGAGCAGTCAGGGTTCCCTGCCCTGTGGGAAGTCCAAGGTCCTCCCCCCTCCATCAGGTCTAGGAAGGTGAGCATCCAAACTGCCTAGGCTCCCACAAAGCCAGTACATGCAGTAGGATCAAAACCCAGTGCCATTGTCCTTGGCTTCTCATCAGCTCTCATTGTCCACCATGTTCAGAGAGTCCGGTTTTATCCCATGCTTTTTCAGACCCAGTCTAGCTGGCCTTGGTGAGCTCCCAATAGATCAGCCCCACTGTCTCAGTGGGTGGATGTACCCCTCACGGTCCTGACTTCCTTGCTCATTTTCTCCCTCCTTCTCCTCCTCATTTGGACCTTGGGAGCTCAGTCCGGTGCTCCAGTGTGGGTCTCTGTCTCTATCTCCATCCATTGCCAGATGAAGGTTCTATGGTGATATGTAAGATATTCATCAGTGTGGCTATAGGATAGGGCCAGTTCAGGCGCCCTCTCCTCAGCTGCTCAAGTAACAAGCTGGGGACATCTCTCCGGACGCCTGGGAACCCCTCTAGAGTCCAGTCTCTTGCCAACCCTAAAATGGCTCCCTTAATTAAGATATATACTTCCCTGCTCCCATATCCACTCTTCCTCCATCCCAACCGTCCCATTCTCCCAAGCTCTCCCCATCCTTCCCTTATCACTTCTCTCTCCCCATCTCTCCTTACCCCCAGCTCAACCCTATCCCCAAGCTCTCAATTTTTGCCTGGAAATCTTGTATACTTCCAATATCCAGGAGGATAACTACATGTTTTTCTTTGGTTTCACCTTCCTATTTAGCTTCTCTAGGATCATGAATTATAGGATCAATGTCCTTTATTTATGTCTAGAATCCACTTATGAGTGAGTACATACCATATTCATCTTTTTGGGTCTGGGTTACCTCACTGAGGATAGTGTTTTCTATTTCCATCCATTTGCATGCAAAATTCAAGATGTCATTGTTTTTTACCTCTGAGTAGTACGCTAATGCGTATATACTCCACACTTTCTTTATCCATTCTTCTATTGAGGGGCATCTAGGTTGTTTCCAGGTTCTGGCTACTACAAATAATGCTGCTATGAACATACTTGAACAAATACTTTTGTAGTATGATAGGGCATCTCTTGGGTATATTCCCAGGAGTGGTATTGCTGGATCCTGGGGTAGGTTGATCCCAAATTTCCTGAGAAAGTGCCACACTGATTTCCAAAGTGGTTGCACAAGTTTGCATTCCCACCAGCAATGGATGAGTGTGCCCCTTACTCCACATCCTCTCCAGCAAAGGCTATCATTGGTGTTTTTGATTTTAGCCATTCTGACAGGTATAAGATGGTATCTCAAAGTAATTTTGATTTGCATTTACCTGATCGCTAAGGAGGTTGAGCATGACCTTAAGTGTCTTTTGGCCATTTGAACTTCTTCTGTTGAGAATTCTCTGTTCAGTTCAGTACCCCATTTTTTAATTGGGTTAATTAGCAAAAGGTTAAGTCCTGCTCTCAGTCCCAGACAGCAGCTCCTTCCTATTTGGAAGTACATACTGCTGACTTTAGTGAGACTCCCTTTTTTGCTGTCTTGCATCTGAGAAACTTGTTTTTGGGGGTCCTATAGGAATCATGTCATAGCTGGGCAGTAGTGGTGCACGCCTTTAAGCCCAGCACTTGGGAGGCAGAGGCAGGAAGATCTCCGTGAGTTCAAGGCCAGCCTGGTCTACAAGAGCTAGTTCTAGGACAGGTTCCAAAGCTACAGAGAAACCTTGACTCGAAAACCACCTGTCTTTTCTGAGTAGTCCCCCATATCCTCTGAGTACCAAGTAAATGAAAAGAGTTCCTCATTTCACATCACAATAAATGTGTGCATACTTTAAAAAAAAGTTTTTTTCAGTTCTCTGAAAACACCATGTACATGGCCTACCATTTATTTCCAATACCGTGCTAAGCAAAGCTAGTAAAGGTTCCATAGTTTAAGGACTGAGTGTCACAAGATTGTCTGCAGTGTAAGATGACAATCACACATGGGGGTATCTTCGGGTTACCAACCCTTCTCTCTGACTCGGCTTCTAATCTCTGCTTTCTACAACCATTTCATGTTCAGGAATTTGTTACAAATACTCAAAAGAAGCCATGGAAACCCTTTAATGTTACTAAATTAAATGTTATAATAATAAAATTTTCTAAAGTCTGTGAGTGACAGAGTAGATGAGGCGATACTCAGGACAGTGTCTATAAGGGTACAAGATACGGGAGGTGCTGTCCACAATGAGTTGCAGTGCCCTACCATTTGAGTGCATTCACCAATCAGAAAATTTTCCAGTTTCTGCTAATTAAAATCATTAAATAAGTTCAGTTATATAGACTGTTTTTTTTTTTTTTTTTTTTTTTTTTTTTTTTTTTTTTTTTGGTTTTTCGAGACAGAGTTTCTCTGTGGCTTTGGAGCCTGTCCTGGAACTAGCTCTGTAGACCACGCTGGTCTCGAACTCACAGAGATCCGCCTGCCTCTGCCTCCCGAGTGCTGGGATTAAAGGCGTTCGCCACCATCGCCCGGCAGTTATATAGACTGTTAATTAAATAACTGACCATTGGTGATTAACTTAATCTCCAATTCCCATTGTGTCCCTGAAAGTTATGAGATGTGGCTCTCTATGCTTGTCCTATATGGTTTCTTTGTTTTTGTTTTTGTTTGCTGAGGACCAGCCATATCTTAATGCTACCTGGAAAGCTTAGTCACCGTCATCTCATGAGCATGCATGTTTGAATACTTGAGAGATTCCAAGACTCTTTTACTCTGAGAATCTCATGTTTTATGGAGCAAGGAACTGAGGCCAAATGTTAAGGCATGCCCATATTGTATTTGTTACTGAGGAAACTCTAAGAATTTATGAGTTCTGTGCTAGGAGCCGAGAATGAAAATTCCTGCCTCCTCTCTTATTTTTGGCAGATAATAGTTGTTCATATTTATAGGATACACTGTGATAATTCAATACATGTATATAATGTGTCATGATGAAATCAGCATAGTTAACATTCCCATCTCCTGAAGCATTTCATGTTATTCTCTGCCTTACTTTCAACAGAATTCT